GCACGCGGATGCCCTCATTTCTTGCACGCCCCCTACCTCGAATTGAAACTCTTACCTAAAGGTCAGCAGCATCACCCAAAGGCCACCCAAACGGTCACCGCACCCAAACCTCTAGCTGCCCGCTTGCCGACCGACCTCGCCACGTGCGTTGGACCGACCCTTCGTCCCAAGGCCGGAGGGCCTCGTCAACTCGCTGGAGCCCTCCGTCGACGCGTTTAGCGGGGTCGGAAAGCGCAAAAGCGCCCGAAGCCGTCGAGGAGGGTCGGTGGTAGAGGGTGGATCACCCCAAGGGGCGCGAAAAGAAGGATGAAAAGGGCACCGAAAGATGGAATCTTCCAAGTGATGGAGGAGATGTTGTTTTCTTCCTGATTTCTTCTGATACTTTTGAGGAAGATGGAAGGGTTCGAGGATGCTTTCGCTATCTGGAAGGTCACTGAAACATCCGGTTCAAATCCCTCTTCCATGGTTTTTCCAACTGGTTTGGACCTTGGACCTTGGAGTCCTCGAGTCCCCCGCACGTGTCGGCCAGATATCGGGAGCTGCTTCGTAGAGCAGGACAGGGCCTGGTGCCACAGGAGATGGACCGAAGTGGAGGGTGGGGGGAGGTGGGGCGATTCCAGCCATGTGTTATTTATTTTTCACATTTGGGGATGTGTTTTCTTGAAGTTATGTTCTTTATGTTGTTAATTTTTGTTATTTTGCGTTTCGGGGGCTCTGACTCATGGCATGGCACAGCATCTCCATCGATCTCCGTACTCGGGCGAAGCAATCAGAGCTGGAGTCAGAGTCTCATGCGCGCAGATGTGCGAAAAGCACGGTGCAGTGAAGGTACATGGTGCAAGTTGCACCTGCTATACTTACTCTCATCAGTGTATGGTAAGACCCACTTGCCATCACCTGCCTTATATATGTGCGACGTTGTGGGCCTCCAGCCGCAGGTAGCGAGGCTCGAGCACTCAGCGCACTGCGTTCCCAACTGGGCCATGGCCCTGGTATCTCGAGAGTGTGATGTGACCCCATACCGTGCACGTCTTTCCCCTTCATTGGGATTGCTTGAGATATTTTGTGGTCTTTAAACTGAGAGTGTGAATCCGTTGGTCTTGGCCCTGCGAGCATTAGCTTAGTTTCACATTGAAACGTTCCAACCTCCGAGCTGGTCTTTCCTCACAGCGACCACCTTCAAAGGCCGGTGTGCAATCCACTGCTATGTGCAAGCTTCAGTTTTGAAAACCTTTACCGTGGGTTCACGTACTGTAGATGTCCCACTTGGCCGTCGGCATGTGTTTCGGCCATAGGCCATAGGCTGAGGAACCTCTTGGGTTTACGGTTTGCATCTCTCTCTTTCGCTCTCTCTCCCTGGAGTGTCCGACAGGTCTTTCTTGTAGCACAGACCGCGAGCTAGAGCCATTCCCGTGTTTTCAGATGATCCCTGCAATGACGAGTGGGAGTTCCTCCCTGTCCTCGCGTTCTTCTTCCCTACAAGGTGTCGCTTGCTGCCATATGTTCCGCTCTTGAGCAGCATTACCTATTTACCCCATTGCACGGACTGTCGCCCGGCAGCTCGTCGCATCTCGTCGCATCTCGCATTGACCGCCCGGAGCCCATCGCAGCCAACTCGTCCTCTTGGGGAAGGTGGAGGAAAGCCTTGCAACATGGAGGTAGGTAGGAGTGAAGGACTTCGTGAATTCCTGATCGAAGCCGTGCTCCAAAAACCCGCGAAAGGGGACACCAATGGGCTTTCCAGACCAGATTCCTCAAGATGCGACAAACTCACGTGCAGATTCCAGTTGTAGACCAGCTCGACTTTTTTGCGGAGCTGCGAAGGAAAGCCCCGCAACGCACATTCCGCTAAGGTCGGCAATACAATCAACTGCCAAGCCCTTCCGCTGGACACGTGAGCGTGTCGCGGCCGGGCGCCGCCGCCAGGCGTGATGCTGAGCACTTTCGGGCAAACATCCCAAAGCAGGGAAAAAGACCAATCATTGCAGGACCCTTATTTCCAACGGATTTCCGAGGGCCAAGTCCGAGTTGGCGGAAATCCTTCCCCAAAGTGGGGAAGACAAACCCAGGCACTTTTTTCGGCCAACGTTTGTGCCCCTGACTGGCAGGGACGCCTTTTCTCACCTCTGTGACTGCTCAGGACGCCGGCCGCCGTCCGCCATGCCCTGCACCGATGGCTGCGCGGCGGAGCGGCGCCCGTGCACGAGGCGTGGAGCCGACCGTGCGGGAGCGCGTCCGTGGGTGGGGTTCGTGGGGGAAGTGGGAGCGCGCTTTTTTTTGGTTTTTGAGTCGGAGTGGCGACCGGCTCAAAGGATTGACATGACTCTAACTGGAACTTGCTTCGCAGTCTCAGTTGGAGGCAAGACTGGAAATCCCGTCATCTTCCGGCTTAATTTCTGGACGTGAACACCTGTATTTTGGTGGTGGGGGTTGTGAAAATAGCTGTTTTAAGTTTTGGTCGATGTGGAGGGCTTGGGAAACCGACGATGGGAGGTGTGCGTCTTACCGATGTTATTGCTACCTCAGGTGGTGGATTTCATTGACATCAAAGTCGATGCAGCAAGAGAAGCTCCACATGTTGGTGGGTGAAACTCTTCCCCACATGACCTTCACAAGCAGATTGGCGTGGGAGGTCTAAGAGCATGAAGTGTAGAATCCTGGCCGTGGCGGTCAGGATTGGGTCCAGATTGTCCATGCAACTTTGCTCTTGATAGGGGCTACTCGTGAGACGCTAAGTTGGTCAGTTTTCTTTTCTACCCTCAAGACTTGAATTACAAGAAGCCTATTTTTTAAGCCTATTTAGATGCCTCGCAGCATCTCGCAGCTAACCGTGGATGAGAAAGCAAGAGCTCAAGGTTCAAGTTGCAGGCATTCCGAATTCCATTTTCTTCTCCACAAGCATGGCTGGGCATGTGGGTTCCCGATTGTACCGTGCCCAGTAGTGGTTCGAACAATATGTACGTATCACACACACTTAGATTGATGCTCGCAAGAGCTAAATCAGTTAGTGAAGTTCCACTTTACACGCATTAGCCCTTGACTTGATAGAACCGAAGGATGCTGGAACGGAATGGCGGCTGAGTCAGTTGACTTGAAGATGTTTCAACATTGTGTTTTAATGGCAACCGATGTTAAACAGTTAGTGCAGGTACATTTTCACCTCCCTGGCGCGCGGTCTTCGTTGGCCAGGACGCGCGCCAGGGAGTCCTGGCCCCCTGCATTGACGTTCTTTAAAAATGAGGTCGGTCTGAATTATCGTGCATTGTTCGTGTCCTTCGAAACAGGAAATGACACACACACACACACGAGTACACGCACGCACATACAGAGTGCAAGTCTATGTGTATCAGATACACGCACAGGCTTTTCATGTACGATACTTCCCTCAAAAGTCTGGACTCAGTCTTCCCAATCTTTTTTCCCTTTTCAAGCGTATGTGAGGGTACAGATCGAACTTGGGATTGCTCGGTGCTCAAGTCGTGTTCCTTTCTGGGCGTCCATCAGAGCCCATTGAAGCAGATCCGGTTTCTCGCTTTGGCGGCTGCCGGGTGGAAACGATCCCGTCTGATAGGTTTCGCCGAGCCCTTTTGAGGCCTCCGAGGCCTTCACGGAGATGGCCATGGAGATGGCGAACGCCTGGAAAATTGCACAGGAGAAGGTGCAGGCGCCTGAAGTTTTGTGGGGTTTGATGGGTAGGCGTGGTGAGACGGGTTTGGGGAACAAGGCATTTTCCTTGTCTCGCTTCTGGTTGATCATGGTTGGTCGTTAAAATATGTTGGTAGTTAAGCATTTCAATTTACATTGAACAACTAGGTGGTGAAAATTTTCCAAGCCAGCCAAAAGGCGAAGCCGGTGAAGCAACATGCGCTCCGAAAAGGCACTTAACTGTTCGTGCTCCCTTGGGGTGTCCACTTGCCAAAATCATTTCCACGGATTTCCAGAAGCACAGCTACCGATCCCGTCTTGCCACGGTCGGTTGGTAGTGACGGCACAGGGCCTCATGCCCTTTTGCTGGGCTTGACTCGTTGCTGTTCTTTTGTGTGCTTTTCCAGGTGCCAGATGTCCTTTTAAATTTGCATTTCCTGACCATTGAATTACACTTTGAGTCTTCAGACTTCAGAACTAAGGCTGTAGCATACATCAACAGTTCAGTTTATCAGTCGAAGAAAAGGGAGAACCGGAGAAATAACATGAAATAACAGGACATGCTGGCCGGATGTCACCCCACCAAGCCAAGGGATGTATACCAGGAACCCGTTCTTAATCTGAAACAGTGGATTCACCGCCGAGCCGTCGCCCCGGTTTGATGCGGCCTGTTTTCGCTCGACCTTGGGCGACAGGACATTGAAGACTTGGCAGGGAAAGCCGGTGGGGGTTGACCCAGCGGGCGGCGCGCCCTTGGAGGGGCGGTGCTTGGACGATGGGACGAGGTCTCCAAACTCTCTACCCACTGGCCATGAAAAAGGCGGGAGGTGCAAGCAGAGCCATTGGGGTTGTGATGTTGTGTTGGTTGATTGATCGGCACTATGTTGATTCTCCGTTTCAGGATGAACAGTCTGAACCAGGTCGAACCACTGCAGCTGACTGAGCACCGAGCAAACCGGAGATCTTCCTGTACAACTGCGGCCCAGCGAGATGGGTTGGAGCTGCCGGGTGCATCCTAAGAGGAACACTCCGGTGCCCGTGACCTACTCTGCTCGGACCGTCCTCGCCGGGGTCCCGCGTTCCCCCCAGGCCGACGGCGGCGGCGACCCGCCTCGCCGGCCAGGCGGAGGGGCAGGGGATTCGCTCGGTGGTGCTTGGTGTCGCTCGGTGGGTCGGTGTTTTTTTAGCTTTTTTTTGGCGAAAAAGGGGTCGAAGTGGATGGTTTCGACCGACCATCTTCGTGGTTCCGGCGACCGGAGTGCTGGAGGAAAGGGTGTTTGGTTCGTGGTGCGTTGGTTCGTGGTTCGCCGAGCCTCAGGCGCACACTGCTGGCTGAAACAGTTTCTGCCCACCGGATGGCGTTTGTGTCTACCAGGTACTCCAATCCTGCAGACGACCCTCGCAGCAAGGACCACTCGCAGGAAGCTGAGATGGAGATAGATCGAGGGAGGAGTTTGGAGAGGATGTGGGTGAAAAAGTATCATATGATGACTCCTGGGCTCCGGCCGAATCCGATCAACTGGCTGGTCATCCGGGGTCCCTGGCCAACATTGCCTTCTGCCAAGTTGACCTTGTGTTAGTGGGTGGCATGCTCTCTCCAGTTGGGGGGGGAGCGTGTTTGCGTTTGATGTCCCTCCACGTCTGCGAATCTGCCAGTTTTGACTTTGGCCGATTTCCGACCCCGTAGACACGTTGGGCTCGGGGCGCTGAACTGGGCTGGGGCACTGGCCGCAGTGCGCGGGCAGTGCAGGCCTGGCTTTGTCACTTGGAGAGGAATTGGGAGGAACATGACACGGGGGTCCTCTTGGTTTGTGGCCATGGGACTCCAGCATTTCAATCGCAGGAAGTGACACGGTTCAGGCATTTCGGTATTAATTATATAATATAATATATTAGTATTTTCATATGCTATCCAGATTCTGCCAAACTACTGTAGAGCACCCAGAGGCTGACTACCGCATTGAGAGGGCTTTTAAACATGGTTTTGACTGCCGTTGGCCTAGCGGCCGCCCCTTGCAATCACCTCCCTGATCCAGCTCCTTTGGGAAGCACCTTCCCCATAAACCATCGACTATGCTCCATCTGAAGGGCTACAGCGAAGAAATCAGATTTGGTGAGGTTTCAAGAACATTATGTCCAACCTTCACTTGAGATTCGTCTGGATGATGAATCCCGATGATATATTCTGATATATCTGATATATAATCTCTCTATATTGACATGACTGTAGGTACTATTGAAGTAGAGATGTTGTTTTTCTGATTGAATGCAGCATGCTCATTCCAAAAGTTCTTCCACTTTCCCAAAACACATTCACCGCGGTCCCGGAAGTGACCCAAAATCTGATCGGAGCGATCCGATCCGGGGAATGGACCCAAATCGATCGAAACATATTGCTTGAGCCCCGAGGGAGGTTTGACTCAAGCACTACCTCACCGTCAGGAGGTGTCCTGACGGCTGCCCTCCCAAGGCGAAGCTTCGCAGAATGACTCCCGCAGCACAATACGCGGCGTTTTTTGGCACTGATGCTGAAAAAGCATGTGATGCGCTGGTGTCTGACTTGCTGAAGGCTCGCCATGCGTGTGATGTGACATAAGACATGCATCGCATTCGTATACTACATATGTATTTACAGTATATAATTTATTTACTTACAGAGGTGAGATGAGTTCAACAGAATCCGCCTTTCCTCCTCCCCCGAGGACGAGGACGACGCGGGGGAGACCGACGTGCCCGAGGAGCGCAGCGGTGAGGTGACGTTGAACGAGTCGGAGGAGGAGCCGCGAGTCCCGCGAGTCAGCGGCGTCGCCGGCGGAGAGTCTTCCCGGGCGAAGGATGTGGTAGAAAGCGGGGGCTTTTTGGGGGCCTTCGTAGTAGAATCTTGATGAATTGCGCCCCCCTCAATATGAAGAGGTCGTTCAAGCAAGCCATGTCTGGTATGAATCAAGATCCTAGGTCCCAGATTCATTAAGGGGCTGTTGTACGTGTACATCTTCAAAGCTTTTCAGGGCCAGGCTTCCCATGCACAAACGAAAAAGACACCCTGTTCCTGCGGTACTTGGGATTTGCGGACTGAGCTCCGTGTTCTGTGTGGACCATTGCGGACTCATTGGTGGCAAGACCAGGCTCCCGCATGGACCAGCCGCTAGCCCAAAGCGCCACATGCATGCAGGGAAATAAGTACGTGCCCCGAGTCGCTGAGCGAGAAAACAGGCTTCCACAGGTGAATCTCGGGAGAGCATCAGCCTTTGAGCCGGAAAACCACCAACCTTCGACCGCCAGACACAGAGATGCCATGCCAAGTTCTTGCGACAGCCCCGCCATCTTCACTTCGGTGAGACGTCTGGATTCTTTCGGTGCATTTATGCCTGCCTGGGCCGAAAAACCCACCAATAGATGTCCCCAGGAGATCCGCGCGATCCAACATACACAACTGGTGCCGTCCCCGCGCTGTTCGTTCTCTCCACCGACTCGGGGACGTTCGCAGGAGCGGCGCTCGCCCAGTGGACCGCCAGGCGCGGCAGTTGGAACACTAGAGGGGAAAGGCGCTGGTTGGCCGCAGGGTGCGCGGCTGGAACAGCTACTTTACTCGGTGTCGGATGTGGGGGGGCTGCTAGCATTGGCAAAAAGAACCCCAAACGCAAGTACATCACTGTGACTGTGACTGTAAAGGAGTCATGGACGTCACGGTTCATTTCATGCAGATTTTTGATGATTCCTGTTCCTGATTGTAGGGAAACAGGATATGTCATATGCACATCAGACATGTCACTGAGCAGTGTGGGAGCCCATCCGCCATTCCCAAGATTTCATGAATCCAGTCTTGACACCGCGCCCGGCGGGTTTTTGGCCAAGGTACCCCAAAGTAGGCTTCCAGAAGAACCACAACTCGCCAGAACGGGGGATCCCACCAAAGATTCAAGGACCTGATCAGCACCTTTCTAGGGGCTCCGGGCCTCACGACTAGGAGCGTTCGGACGCGACCGCTACGAATTAGGGGCTCTGGGGCATCGCTACGAAGGGGTTTGGCCCAATGGGTGGGTGGCACCCCCAACGGTCTGGCACCCTCACCACTGAGCCGAGCCGCTTCGCTTGGGGCGTGGGACCGACGAGGTCTGATCTTGAGTACTACTTCGGCTCCGTGGCAGCTCGTGGGGACAGAGGTGACTGGATGGGGTGACTGGATGGGGGTGACCGGGGGAGATGATCGGCCGGCTTTTTTTTTGTTTGGTGGTTTCTAGATCTCAAGACGGTCGAACAGTTGGATACAGTTGGTGGTTCATGGTTTTTGATGGGTTGGGATGTCCTTTGCGAGTGCGACATTCTGTAACATGGAAGGCCCATGGGATCAGGGCTCTCTGCTGAGGCTCCGAATTCCTTGAGCAGCCCGAGCTACTTTGGAGCCGAGCAGTTCCGCAAGAACCTCGCCTTGACGCTCGAGGACGAGTGCCTGGATGACGATGCTCGGATGAACGCTCTGTCGGATGTGTTAAGGGGCTCACTGAACATCAGGGAGCAAAAGTCAGGGGACTTTTGCAGTGCACAGGCGGAGGGCAGTTGGAGCTATTTTTTTGTGCATTTGGGTGATTTTCTCAGGAGCTTGTGGTCTAAGCACCTCAAAGAAAAAAAGGTCTGAAGTAAGGGGTTTCGTCCAGTTTTGCGCCTGTAGGCTCATTTGCGACGGTGTATAGTGATGTAGAGTGTATATAAGACAAACCTGAGTGGCAGGATGCTACACACTTCACTATCCCAGCATCCATGTGCGGGCGATGGGTCCCCAAATGGGCAAAACCAGGCACCTGTAAGTATAGATACTGACCTTTTGAGGTTTTGTTTGCCATTGACCTACTACTGACTTGTCATGGGTCATCACGTGTCCACGGCCGGCCTCGGCCTGTCGCCCCTATCCAAGGATGAGAACGACTGCAACTTTGCAGGGGTCGCTTTTTTGAGAATTTGAGATTTGAGTGTGGGGGAGTGGCGGGAAACAATGTGTACACTGTACACGATCGATACCCTTTCGTTCCCATCCCTGATCTCCTCCCATCTGTGAACACGTGATGTTTCTATGCCAAGAAGCTGACCTGTGACATCTCCCCTCTGTCAAAAAGCTCCGCAGCTCTGGAGCTCAGCTCGAGCTCAGGAAATCGGGGAAGCTACCGCACCGGAGTCATTTCAGATGTTTTATCCGCCTGTGGTGGCGCCGCCATTGGGGCGAGGCTGGGCCCGAAGGTGCCATACCGCTGGCAGACAGATCAGCTGGCACCAATGAGGGGGGCTCGAAAAGCCTGTCGCTTTGGAATTCCGGGGCCCGATGTTTCAGTCTGTTTCAGTCCGGCCTTTTTCTCTCCTTTGCACCAGCCCAAGAAGCCCTCTCCGTCCTTTTTTGTGGCCGAATCCACCGCTGTGTCGAGCCACTTCAGCTGTTTTCGACACCGCGGTCCACGGAGGCGAAGAATATGATGCCTGGCTGGCTCAGCTGCCTTCGATCGGCTCGGCGAACCACTTCTTCGGGACCTGCGACCGGTGTTGCTTTCACCCCAAGGGTCGCTGCCACAACGGCTACAATTGCCAGCACTGCGCCTTGGATGAGGTATATAGATGGGGTCTGTCCAATTACCTGTAACAGTCAGTAAACAATTATTATAATTCTTGAACAAGGCCTTTACTAACCATTATCATCCACTGTTACAGGTACTGTAATAGGATAGGCCCAAGGTATATAGACTGAATTCATGGTACTTCTAGATTTGTTCTTGAACACAAGAGAAGAAGGCCAGAGATGAGACGGAGTATTGCGGTATTGTTGTTCTTGGGACCTTAGAAGGGTGATGGTGTCAGAAGATGTTACTACTATAGTGCATAGATCTCTCAATGATAGATTCTCTAAAGGTTGGCCCACAATTCGCAAGGGAGGGGCATTCTTGTCAAACGACATTTCGCGCATAAACGACGCGTCGTGGGTGCTTGCTTTTTCACAGGTCACTATGACCACGAGAAGCGAAAGCGCAAGAGCAAGAAGAAGAGCACCGAGCGAGAGGATTTGGCACATTCGATCCCCGCCACGCCGCCAGCGCTGGGGCTCATGGGGCCCCTGGAGCATTGCTACCCAATCCCTGCGCCCTTCCCCGAGCCCGGAGCCCCAGTCCCACCAGTGCCCCCAGGACTTCCGGGACTCCAAGCTTACCCGCCGTGGTATCCTGAGCCAGTCCCCCCTGACTTCATCCCTCCAGAGTCACATCATGCCCCCGCATGGGAAGACTATGTGCTTCGTTTGGAGGAGGAGAATCGCTACCTCCGTGGGATGTTGATGCAATATGGCGCCTCCTTACCCCCCTCCGTGATTCCCAGCCATCGTGGACCACAGCCGATGCCAGCCATCGCCAGCCCCGTTGACCCAGTGAGCCTGAACCCGATGAACCCCATGCTGTCACCCAGCGCCGTTCCTTTTTGTCCTGGATGGTCTACAGATGCCACCCGTGAACCCGTAGGCGGGGCCGGACCGCGGACGCCCTGTCCCGTATACCTCCGTATACCTCCAGGCACACACCGTGTAGACAGTGAAAAACAGGCCTCGTTTGGGTGTAATGCAATGAGCTTAGACATGCGAAACCTGACGGACACAACATCATACAATGATGAAAAGATGTGAAATTCTTCCTGCAGGTCGCAGGTCTATGACTAGCTGGGTAAATTACACTCATGTCAATGTCTATCAGCTGACACGAGCTGCTATCCACTGCTATCTTTCTATGATGATGAGAGAGGGAGAGAAGGCTTCAACTCTTGGATCTCCAGACGCCGGACGTGCATTCGGCCGAAGGAAGCGCCCTGCCGGAGATGTGAGGGAGATCTCCGTGAGAGAAACAGAATGGAAAAGCCTGGAGTTCTGTGGTCAATCAATCGCTTGTTCTGAGGAACAACCTGGATTTCCTCTTGTCAAGCCCACAACCTGATCAGACAATTTTTTGGGTTTGTGGTGATTATATAGCAGGCAGAAAAAAGGTCCTAACGCCTAACGCGTTTTATAAAGTGCGTTTTCAACACGCTTTGGCCATATGCAGAACCCGCCAGGCATTTCCGCACACGGGGCAAACAACATGGCGATTTCGTCGGGAGGATGTCATGATTTGAACAAGGACACCGGAAATTTAAGGGGACTATAGGCAACAACCAAATGGCTCTCGAAACATAACTCATGACTCATGCGCGTGCAACTCCACAAAGAGAGGACTCTGATTCGTTGGAATCGCAGGGGATGCAGGGGTGTCGCCTCCCCTCTGCCCCAAAGGTGTGAAGACATGTAAAGACATGATCTTGGAGACATGATCATGAATTATGAGCAACCTCTGCACATGCCAAACATTTGGGGATGGGGATTCCTTTGCCATTTCCAAAAAACTTGGCACCACAGTAGGAATCTTTAAAGATGATTTTGGTTGAATTTTGATCGCAGGACCATGTTATCACAACAAGTCACATGGGCTTAGCCCTTGCACGGCCGAAGGGAGCAAGCCGGGGAGGAGGGGCTTGGCGCTAGCGCACGTAGCCCCTGAACGATGGCGACGTTTCAACTGGCAGCGCCCGAATGGCTGTCCAAAAGGTGCCAGCCACGGACACGCCCCGAACACCCGGCGGACGCATCAGCAGCCTGCCGGGTTCACAGAGGTGGGGCCAGAAATGAAACTTTTTGGACGGGGGTGCCATGGGCCACGTGATCGTGAAGCACGGATTGCACGGATGTGTCATGTACATGAGACACGCTCGGCCCACGGGTTTGGTAAGATGGGTCTTCCATTCGCAGGATTTCTGATTGCTCTCGGCAGCCCAATGCTGCGTGGCACCAGTGCCACGGAAAAGCTTTTCAGACTCAATGCTTGAATCAAGCGTTAGTTTAGACGGCCTGTGAGCGCATAAGCTGGCCATAGGCACTTCACGCCACGGAGAGAAAAACCGGACCCGACTGCTGCGGGTTCCAGAGGTCTGGAACGGGGCATCGGTCGCTCTCAGACGAAGGCTCTGTGGAGCGAATGTGGAGTCCGATTCCCGCGGTCTGTGCGGTCTGTGCCGACGGTGTCACGAAAGAAGCCTTCGGGAGGGGTTCTGGTGCCCCTCCAAAACAGCCACCTCAGAAAGCTCAGTTGTTGGCCAACATTTGTTCTCCACAACTCCGTGACTGGTGGGTGACTGGTGTCAACCCGTGCTCGACTGCTCCGAGGGCGGCCACCAAAGCGCTCCCACCACAGCCTGCGCCTCTGGGGTTTTGGGGGCGCCCAGCGGGCCTGGTATATGAAGGGACGCGGGATTGAAGATGGATTGAAGTGTCCAAACTTCAATTGGTCTAGGTGCAGGTTTCATGTAGCCTAGGGGCTATCTTCCCGCCATTGCCGGCAGGATTCGGCGGAAAGAGGGTCTTCTACAAAGCCACAGGTTTCATCCGATTTGCTTTGCTCACCCCACTGATCTCCACTGGGTCAGAAAGTCGGAGCCAGGTGTCGATGTCCAGCGTTTCCGCCTCGTTCCGAACGCGCCCAGGACTGGTCGTCCCGAAGCACCACGAGGCTCTGAGCCAGCTCAGGCCGCGGAGGGGTCGGAGGCCGTGATGGCGCCAAACAAGGTGACAGGGGCAGATCTTGGGGGTTGCAAGTGTTAGTGAGTGAGAAGACTGAAGTGGTGGTTTGAAAAAACAAGTGCCCCTTCAAAAGCCCGTGTGAGACATAATTCATGTGTCTGTATATAGCTTTGACTTTGAAGGGCTGTTGTTGGGTGTGGCACAGGGTAATGCGATGTGAACACCGCACGAGTCAAGCATGAACACCCAACCGTTACTGTAGGTCAACGATGAATCAGTCTCACCTCGTTTCGATTCCATCAATTGTCAATAGTGAACTTTCGGGAAGCCACAGATCACCAAGATGCTCATTGCGACCGCACAGGGGGCCGCGCTAAATCTTCGGACCCAGTTGACCCAGTTGACGCCAACTGGGTCAGCCGGGTCAACTGGGTCCGGAGATTTAGCGTGGCCACCGGGTCAACTGGGTCCACCGCCGCCACCACCACGACGACGACGACGACTACTACTACTACCACCACCACTACTACTATATACTTCTACTACTGGGTCAACTGGGGTCAACTGGGTCAACTGGGGTCAACTGGGGTGAACTGGGTCAACTGGGGTCAACTGGGTCCAGAGATATAGCGCGGCCCGGGTCAACCGGCTCAACTAACCATCAGTTCGACTGGGTCAACTGGGTCTACCAACACTACTATCACCACTACCACTACTACTACTGCTTATGGGTCAACTTGGGTCCACTGGGTTCAAGGTCTGGCAACGACTACTATACTGAGCATGCTCGACCAAAAATGAATCCCTACTAGTGCTAGGTGTTAAATAAGGCAGTCTGAACAGTAAAAAATTAAGCTCAACACCAGGGTTCCCGTGTTGAGCTTGGACAAAACCTTTTTTTTTTTTTTTTTATCAAGTTCATCGGTTTTGTATTTCCATTGGGCACCCCACGAGAAACAGGCGTAGCCACTGCATGGACAGACGGCCGTCAAAGAATGGCCAACGAATGGCATGCGTGGAGCTAAATTTTCTGGACCTTTCAGACCGGGGAAGGTTCAATCACCAATTATCCCCTTTCGTGCGAACTGCTGCGGATTTGGAATTGTGTTTCTTCTGTAAAAATCTTTTCCAGGTCAGAGTCAGAGTCAGAGTTCGGCTTCTGTGAGGATCCCGTGGTCGACTTGTGGATCTTTCCCAGGTCCAAGCCAGGGATCAGGTGCTGCGTGTTCGATTCGATCGTCAGGCTATCCACTAAACCACAGACTAAGTCAACTCATCCATAGAATCCTGGAACCTGAGTAAGTGACCTGTACTTTAGATCAACACCAACCATCCTCATCTGTGGCAACATGGAGCTATAAAGACATGTGGCATGATCTAATCAATAGAAACCAACATCAACATCAGACATTCCGTGTAGAGCTTGATTCGGAACCTTACTTGTTCAAGTTCAACAACGGTCTTCATCACAACCTCGGTTGATCCAGTTTGATCCACTTCAGAAGCCAACAGTTGGGGACCGTTTCTTCCTGCGAGTCAAGAGATAGCTCCAGATCTATCGACGACCTGTGAGCAAGCGACTTGGCTATGTAAAGCTATTCAAAGAAAGCTAGAAACCAAGATCAACACCAGACATCTTGTGTTGAGCTTGGTTAGGACTCCTTCTTCCATCGAGTCGACCATGGCCGCATAAACAACATTGACACATAGAAATACATAGTCTAAGCATGGGAAACCAAGCTCAGAGCCAGGTGTCCCGTGCTGAGGTTGGTTGAAGACTTTTCCTGAGCCAGTTGAGACACTGCCTCCATCAGAACCTCAGTAGAAAACAATTGCGTAAACAACAATAATGAGTTATGAGAACATTATCTAACACAGAAGCCACACTCCACACCAGGAATCCCATGTTGAGGTTGATTGGTGATCTTTCTTGCTTCTTCCCCAGTAGTAGCAGTGGGCCCAGTTGACCCCGGTTGAGCCGGTTGACCCCAGTTGATCCAGATCACCCAGTTGACCCATTGGATCCAGTTGACCCAGTTGACCCCAGTTGACCCAATGGACCTACTTGACCCAGTTGGCACGTAGTAGTAGCAGTAGTAGTCGTGGTGGTCGAATTGACCAGGAGGGCATGCTAAATCTGCGGACCCAGTTGACCCGAATTGACCCAGTTGACGCGTAGTAGTAGCAGTGGTCGTGGTCGCAGTGGTCGACTTGACCAGGCGGCCACGCTAAATCTATGGACACAGTTGACCCAGTTGAGGTCAATTGGGTCAACTCGGTCAACCGGGTCAACTGGGTCAACTGGGACACCCTGTTCCATTGGGTCAACTTGGACCACAGATTTAGCGGCCCCCTGTGCCGACGCACTCAAGATGCTTATATAATTACGGTTATTTTACCGTTACTGTGCCAGTTCCATCCAGTTCCTATTAGATTTGAGATGATTTGAGCATTCGGACTCGGACCCTGACGTGCGTTTATGAGGGAACGGGGCGTAGCTCGTTGTGCCTGCAGAATCATGACGCTGGACAAACTGTTCCACAAAAGAGTATTTTTTATTGTGTTCTTATGATACACGTGTATGCTCAGTGAGAAAACATGCGCTTGAGAAAAACGGGTGATGCAGAGGCTTTGTCAAAGTCCCCTTGCGGCAGATCGCATGGCTGGTGAGTGATAAGAGAAAAGGGCTGCCACGAGCGACCATGGGTGACCTGGTGGAAATGGGGCATTTGGAGGAACAGCTTGACGCGCACATTGTTTCACCCCCAGAAAGGCCAGATGCAGGTCGCACGTCGCACCGAGCACGCAGGTCGGAACAACTTCCACATGTTATGGTCCAGTTCGCGGCAAGGGCTCCTGGCCTTACTAGGAGCAAGAACGCTACGAACGGAGCCTTTCGGGCATCGATCGAGATTTCGTGCACTAGTTACTGGGAGCTGCCAGACGTGCGACCGCCTCTACGCCGGCCGCCGATCGCCAGGCGCCGAAGCGGCCGCCGGTCTCGGCGGAGCATGCCGAATGGGAGGACGGTCCGGGGCGAGAAGCGCGGCGAACACTGCGGCGAAGCTGGGGCCCAGGGGTATTGCAGGGTGCAGTTTTTTGGAAGATTGATGAATCAAGTTCGAAGCTGGGGTGGGTGAGGCTTTCAGATCACCATGGTGCAGGTTTTTTCCGTTCGGGGTAATTTAGCTGTCGAATTGAACGATGAATGTATAGAAAGGCCAAGCGTCAAAAAAATACTGCAAAGCTCGGCAAGTCACAGACTCCGGGGAGC